AAACGCACCCCATAATTGGGACTATTATAGAATAATAAAAAATGAGATTGTTTAAAGAAATTCGGCCAAAGTTGGGATTATTAAAACCAATATTTCTACTTTTTTAACCAACAAATTAGATAATCGTAGTTGGGGTGTCGCGCGCAATGCGTGCGACAACTATTATATTAAAAAGTTTTTCTAAACATAAGTCTAGGTGTTACTTGGCATTCTCTTTCTAGGTGTTCTATTTTATTGCATTCAATTGTGAAATAAGAATATACTTGTACTATATGTAAGATTTCATGACCTCGAGTTTATAAATTAAAGGCTTAACCACTTAATTATGTAATATTTGATGTCATTCTTCTACTGTAAAATATTGTAGCTTAGATTTTCCTGACTTTACTCTCTTCTATCCAATTTCTTCCCTTTGATGTTGAGCTGTTTTTCCTCTTCCACTTTATCTCCTACCCATTTATTTATTTAGTTGTAGTCTGTTGTTTGAAAACTTGAGTTGTTTTGTTGGTGCTGTTGTTTGGTGTTTCAAAACAAAAGATGGTTGTTTTTGCTTGTTTTTCTTGTTGATTGCAGCCTTTAGGGTAGGTTGGGGCTGGATTGTAGCGGTGATGGTGAAATTGCAGCTATGATTTATTGTCTATGGTGGTGATTATTTCCGTTGTGGTTGGTTAAGGTATGTTAACATAGTTTTTCCCTTCATTTGTTAGCTTTGATTTTGGGGTTTTTCCTTGGAAGTGGGCGAATTCTTTTTAGCGATTTATTGTCTATGGTGGAGATATTTTCCATCATGGTTTACAGTAATAGATGAGGATATGTGTAAAGCTGCATAAGATAGGCAGAAATCATTCTTGATTTCATTAATGTGCGTTATCATACAATATATCCCAAGGTAGGCAAGGAAATCAATTAGTCCTTATCCTATGGCAACAAAGAAGGGAAAAGTTATTCCCATATATGCAAACTACCTAACTTAGGCAATATCTAAACTTATCATATATAACAATCATATATTCTTATATTTATCTTATTACCCCTCAAGTTGGAGCATGTAAGTCAAGCATGCCCAACTTGCGGGTTAAATAGTCAAACAATTGTTATCCCAAAGTCTTTGTAAACACGTCCGCTAACTGATTAGTAGTGGACACATAAGAAGGTGCAATTAAGCCATTACGAGTCGCATCTTGGAGCGGCGAATAAAGGAATAGCTACTTACCCATAGAGAGAGAAGACAGCTACAGAACACCATTGAAAGTTAAGAAGTCCAGCTCTTTGTCAATACGAACCGACCCTAATTTTTTTTTTTCTTAAATTTCATTTCCTATTTGCATTAATTCGATATTTTTTTTCCCGGGTTTTGTAGGAAGAGAATGTTTGCTCGGAGTAGTAGCAACAATAGTTTGTCGCTCAAAGACCCTGATGTAATTGAAATTCCGCGTCCTTCTACTTGGAAATCGAAGCCAAGGAAGCAAAATTCGGTGAAATTCTTGAACTTTTTGGTTGTAAAATCTTGTTAATTGAAATTGAATTATGTGGGTTGTTCAATTTTATCTGAATTTTCTGGGTTTGTGCAATGATTAAATCATCACATACGATAGAACACTTAGATGAATTGCCCCTTGATGCAAAGTGAAGAGAGAATAATCAGAGTACGACTGTGAGAAACTGTACCTTTTGAGGGAGCCGGCTAATTTAGAAAACCAACAACGAGGTGCTTGTTGTAGACCATACATGACTACTTAAGATGACAAACCATGCCGGGTTGGCCATGAAACCCAGGAGGTGGTTTCATATATAGCTTCTCATCAAGATCACCATGAAGAAATGCATTGCGAACATCCATCTAGTGAAGTCCCCAATTTTTCGCAGCAGCCACAACCAAGAAAACACGAACAGTCACCATTTTAGCAAAGGGAGAAAAAGTCTCATTATAATCAATACCCTCAACTTGATGGTTACCAAAAATAACAAGGCGTGTGTAGGGAATTTTCACGCTTTTTCCTACTGTGGGTCATGTTGTTAAGCATGCCGGCGATCATAGGAAGTGGGATTCAACTAATGCGCCGTAGGATGGAAATAGAGAGTCGTCAATAAGTCTTTTTGGAACTTGTAAACCGTTCACAAATTGCGAAGGTTACACCCCATTCACAATCCATGAGATTTCTAACTCCATAGTGGTCTAACGAACCATTATTGGATATTCGGGGATGATGGTACAAAGTTGAGTCAAAGAAGCCAACTCTGCCCTTATAGGCCTCTACTCGATTCTTATTGTGACATTCGTTCATTGCTTTTCAATAACATACAAACAAGGTCATTAATTTGCTCCAAACTAATATTAGTCTAAGTTGGTTGAATATTAATGCGCACATAAAACTAATTACAATGACCACTTCGATTAAAATCATATTGAACCTAAACGAATTAATTAAAATCTTATTAGGCGTGATTTTCAATTACAGGTTCCCAATTAAACCTATAAATCTAGTGATCCAAAATATAATAGTAAACAATAAACATGCATAATATTGGAAGCAATGACATGATCAAACAAGCATCAAAACATCACCATCACAATTATAATCCTAGACATGATACTAATAAAGAATTATCCTAACATGATTACAAGAAGGCAATAAACAAAGGAAGTAAATAATTTACTTATGTTGAAAGCGCGAATTTCTTGCTATCAAAATAATAGACACGTTAATAGATTTCAGGAAAGATAAACCAACAATTAAAGGCAAATAATTGAAATAACAATAATAAGAATTAAAGGAAAGCAATAAAGAAAGTTTGGATTGTTTTGGACCAAACCCTCAGAATTATAAACCTTATAACCCTTGATCGAAGTTTATATTGAGGAGTCGGGACTGGAGAACTCGAATCACACCGAGGAAGTATGATGGAAACTTGAGAAAACTCAAAGTAACAATGCTTGATGAATTGCTGATTGTTGAAGGGAAAATCGGGGGAAATTTGGGTAGTATTTATAGGGAAAATCGGGAGTTCGAAGTCGGATTAAACTCTACGAAAGATAAATTTTAAAATCCGGAAAAATCTAAAGTGGCATGCTGCGCCAAGGGTGGCGCGCTGCACCACTTGGTGGCGCGCTGTGTCACCAGTGACGTGGCGCGTCACTTTGTATTAAATATAATTTAATACAGTTTAGACTTCTAATCATCCTATTATTGTACGTAAACTAAAATTTCAGAAAACTATTCGACCAATCAAAGAGTTTGAGAAAAGAGTTTACCTAATCAGAAAAATCTTAGAAAACATCCGAAAATATATCTTCATACGCTAATAAAAATATTTTTTCGAAAATAAGAGTTTAAGAGAAAATAGTTTGACTACGAATAGAATTCTAAAACAAATATTTGAAAATCTTTAATTTATATCAAACTAGGATTTTAACCATACGAGACCCCAAAAAAGTAATTTTCGGTCCCTTACGGACACCTATACGGACACAAGGTTGGTCGGGTACAGTTCGGGCTCAAATTAGTATTTTGACCATAGCTTTCAATCTGTTAACCGAAATTGGGCTTATAATATATTGTTGGAAAGCTCTTTTCAAGTCCCATCCAACTAAACAATAATTAGAATGAGATAATGGACATAAAAATACAGTTTTGGGCGGAAAGGCACGAAAACAGTATTTTTGGATACGAAATAAATATTTTTAAGGTTTAGGACAGGAAATAAATATTTTTAAGGTTTAGGACACGAAATAAATATCTTTAGGCTTAAAAATAATTGGACTAGGCTAGGAAAAACATAAAACCTTGGCATGACTCTACAACTCATTGCCTAACTCGTCAGTGATCGCGGAAGGCAATTCATCACCGGGTTTGGTTTTAATGAGACACAATCAGGTGTCTGTAGAAGCCCCCACTTTGACTGAATTTTTAGAAATTTAAGTTTCAAAAACGATAATCAAAGTATGCCGAAAGGGACGAAGAATGGTCTAGAACGTTCTGCGATCCCAGACCACTCTTTTAACGTCGATACCTGTAGAAAATGTTAGTTCTGCAAAATAACGGAGTTAAAGTTAAAGAAACGTGTATCTGACATCACTGTGTTGATGTTGGATACCCTTGTGATGCATTCACTCGTCTCTGAATACCGGAGCTCAAAATAAGGGATGTGTTCACTCGTCTCCGAACACGAGAGCGCAAAGATATGTTCACTCGTCTCTGAACACGGGAGCTCAAAGATATCAACTCAAACTCAAACATGTTTTGATAACCTCCACTTTCAGAAGGAGATCACCGAAGACTACTACATCTGGTGCCGCTTTCTCAAATTTTGTATTTCCGTGGAAATACCTCCTGATGATCAATCTCATCGTAGGGAGTCCTATCGAACCACCATTGGAAACATACCTAATGGTCAATCTCATCGTAGAGAGTCCTATCGGACCATTTTCTGGGATCAATCCCCCTATGATCAATCTTATCGCAAAGAGTCCTATCGGACCATTTTCGAGGAAACTTTTTATGGTTAATCTCATCATAGAGAATCATATCAGACCATTTCAGAGCCTGGTGATTGCAACTAAGCAAATCACCAATCAAAGAGGGCGTTGTAATCGTTTTAACAACTAATCAAGGTAGGATCATAATCGAGCCAATAAAAAATCTTCTCAGATGTTTCTCTTCCAATCAAAATACACATTCTCAATGCTCAAACTTGCTCAAAATCGAATCTGCAAAAAGGGTCAGAGTGGCGCAGGGTGGCGCGCCTACGTGGCGCTGACGCGGTGCGTCCATGGTGACGCTCCGCGTCACTTTTGACGTGGTGCAACACTCCTGGGTTTCTGGTTTTAAATCAAATTTTTCCTCTTTCTTCTTTATTTCTCTTCACTGCTTCTGTTCTTGCTGTTTTCGCTTCTTCAACTCAATTTTTCCTCAATTTTCTTGATGTGAATCAAGAGGCTAATTCTTTTAAAGGGTCCAAGACACTTTCAAAAAGTCCAAATAGCTTCATTATGGGCTACCCAAAAAAAGAAATAAACAAGGAAAGGTCCACTAGATCAACAGGGAACGAAGTAAGCATGATTTGCAAAGAAGAAGTAATGGAGCAGTTCACTTCTAGCGAGGAGCACGGTGGCCACGTGCCGAAATGGGGCCCACGCATCGGCTTCTCGGCACCGGACTGAGCCCAGCTACACGCTGGTGTGGCGCGTGTCACCTTGGGTGGCGCGTGTGGTGGTGTGGTGGCGGTGATATGAAAAGAATGATTTTTTTTACTTAGCTTTTTCTAGAGTTTTTACTTGCAAGTTTTTACCTTTCACTTGAAAGGGTTTTTCTTGGTTTACTTAGGACAAGTTTTAATTTCTGTTATTTAGTTGATATAAACTTCCTAAGGTTGTTAGGAAAGTTTTTAGTTAATTAGAGTTTGTTTAGGATTAGTTTTCCTATTCTAATTAGAAGTAGTTATTCTATTCTAGTTAGGATGCTTGGAGAACAAGGTTAGGGGTTTGTCCTTATCCTTGTGGGAGTAGAATTAGTTGCCTCCTATGTCTATAAATAGGGGTAATTTTCATGGATTTAGATATATAGAAAATCAGATTAATTTCAATACAAATTGTTTAACTTTGTTTAAACTTTTCTTTGCTAGTTTTCAATTCAAGGAGTTGTTTTGATAATTAGAACGTTCAATTCTTAGTTCTAAGAGTAGTCTAAGTTTTTTTCATTAAAATACTTAGATCCAGGAGTGGTCTAAGTAGTTTGAGTAGGCATTATTCGTTCTAGGAGTGGTCGTTTTCAAAGTCATATCTGGTTCGTTGTTCTTAGATTCTTCGATTTTTCTTAAGGAATTTGGAAGGATTGTGTTACTTGTGTGATTTTAGATTATTTAAGGGGTTAAAATCCACATCATTTCTTCACGAAAATCTCTCTTTTCTCACTTAAAATCTTAGTAGATCTTATTTCTCATATTCATTTTCAATTCTTGGGTATTTTCGCTGTTTGGAGGTATAAACTGTACAATAGGAGAAGCTTTCGGGTTGGATTTTCGCTCATTTTCTTCAACTTTCTTTGCTCCAAAATCACAATGTAAGTGTTCAAACTTGTTTCTCATAGATTATGTTCAAATTTGGTACACAATTATGCCCAATTTTCGGATTTTTCGAAAGATACCCATGAAAAATCAATTTGGGGGTTTTTTGTGTGATGCTTGTTTGTCAAAAATGTTTGTCTCATGGTGTAGTATATTGATTGGTGATCGTTTTGATATTAAATGTATGTAATTTTGGTAAGAAACGAACAAATTATGACCACTCTAAGAGCTTAGTAGGAACTCTTTAAAGGAGTTTCCTCCATTGTTGAGGTATTACTCAAGCTTTGTATTTTTAGGAAAATTATGCTCAAAATATGTTTCTTGGATAATACTACTTTGTTTGTGAAGAACATAGTATCATGCGGTTTAGGTGAACTTTTATTATGCCGTAGAGACAATTAGGAAATAATATGAGATTTTTAAACTAATCTTGCTCTGAGGAAAATTAGGGTGAAAAATCCATAAAAATTTTTAAGCCCCAAAATATATTAATAATGAATTTTTAATAAGTTGTGGACCTCTCAAGTAGCATAACTCGCCGTCAACTGCGGGGTTCGGGGTTGAGCTCTCGACCTGACTACAGGGAAGGTTCTCTGGTCGAGGAGGGTACAGTGCACATTCGAGGTAAGGGGCGTGCCTTTGTTAATCGAGTACGAGTGTGGTCGCCACCGGAGTCGTGGGATGGTGAGACGGTGTTCTTGGAGCCGGACCACCATATCTTGGATAGGATCCAAACTGGTTTGCCTGACGAGAACATAGTTCGTACTCACGGGTCGGGTAACGAACTTATCTTGGAGATGTACGCTGATCTGGTGACTGACCCAGAGTTGGTTACTGACCTCTACAGGGCTGTAGAGCCTCTCCATCGTCTAGATGAGGGCAAGGCCATTGTTCGTGGTATCCTAGAGTTTTTCTGGGACACTACGAACACTTTTCATTTTCCGTGGGTTGAGATGGCTATCACCCTACTCGACTTCTCTGTGATCAACAGACTCGAGTTCTGCTTGCGACTTGTGAGGGTTGATCCTGACATTTTGGTTACTTTCGGGTTTAGTTCGAGGCTATTGGGCCCGATTGTTTCCCGGCTACGAGAGGAGCAGCAGGGGAGGAAGGTGTCAAAGAAGTCAGTGAAGTCGGCTTCTCTTGCTAATGGGTTTTACATTGAGGATACTACTACCGAGCAGAAGATCCGGATCTTTGTGCTCATCCTCCTCTCCGAAGTATTTCACCTAACCGGAGCACTCAGTCTCTGTTGTGTTACTTGAGGTCTCAAGACTACCTCACTCACATTGGCTCATATGACTGGGTCAATTTGGGTCATGTTGATCTACTTTTAGGCCTCCATCGCGGGTGTCAACAGTATAGTGCGGCAATTGAGGTGACCGTATCTGGCTTCTGGATGGTCGTAGAGGTATTTCTTCTTCTCTTTTCCCAAGTTTATTTTACGCTTTATTGTTCCTGTTCTTTATTCTCAACCTCTCGCGATAGGTATGGTTCTACGATTACTGCTAGACCCTTGCGCCTGCCCGACCGAGCGATTTGGCTTTTCCGGTCGGTACCAGATGGTCGACCGCGTGCTGGGTAGATTCTTTACCTTGGAGAGTGTCCGAGCGGCAATAGGAGAGGTATAGTTTCGATTCTTCATTTCTTTGATTAGCTTCATTGGTTGAATCTAACCTTCTCACTTCTTATTTCAGCGCCCTGTGGTCACCTATTCTCCCTGGGTGACAATCGATCAGCGTCCATACGCCATACGCCCTGACTCTAACTTCTCAGATGAGGATCTTATGAGGCACATATGCTCCGATGTGGTATCTAGGGGAGAAAGTTATTTGTCAGCACTCCTCTCAGACTTTCTTCGTTCCAGGGAGGCCTCCTTCATCGATGCTACATGTTGGTCGGCTACGGGAGTATACCAGAAGTAACACCTGGTCTACCGATTTTCGGGAATTGGTACAGACTAGGCCGGACTATGAGCTCATGATGATACCGATACTTGCTCCTTTTCCTGAGCCTGAGGTAGTTGTTTTCCCTCATATAGCTCCTATTTCCTTTTTATGTTTTTCAAGGATTAATACTTCCATTTTTCAGGAGTCTGGTGACTTCTCTTACCCTCGACTTTCTCTCCGATACGCAAGACCATATGGGACGGTTAAGGAGGTAATCCTTGAGACGCCTAAGGAGTGGCGTATTGCTGAGCGATCCCTCCCCCGGTCTGTGAGATTGGTAGGTTTCGCTGATTTTTCTGTCTGATTTTTAGTTTTTATCTATGTTTGACTTTCTTTCATGGTTGCAGCTTCCACGCGAGGGGGTGATGCACTTGCTACGGGTAATTGATGCTTGTAAGTATCAATTGATTCGCTGGAGTCACCTCGTGACCTGCCGAGATGCAGATGCGGCTTGTTCGGTATGATATTCTACTCCCTTTTGCATTTTGGTTTATTGAGTAATTATTGTTCTAACATCTTTTCTTTTTCTTTTGCATTCGCAAGACAGGGCACATCCTCCTCCGAGGCAGAGTGGCTCGGGAGAATTTGGTGCCGAAGGCCTTGGTCACCAAGGAATTGGCGAGTCTTCGCAGTAGGGTGCTGCGCGTGGCGAGATGAAGATTGAGGACCCATACCTCGTCATTCTCCAGCGATAGCTCCTAGCTCCAGGTGTTCGTCCTCAGAGTTCGGATCGGAGAGCTTGCAGGGTGGTAGTTTTTCTTGGCCTATTGGTCCTCCACCTCTGTCCATGGGTCCTCTGTTTCAGCCGTTCGGACAGCCTGGTTTTGGAGCTCTGATGAGGCCCCTGTTCATGGGCTCACCTTTCGGAGGCGTTATTCCTGGGTCGGAGCTTTAGCAGTTCGTGTCAGGCGGTCAATAGTATATAGCTTGGAGGGGTCCTGCTCTCCATATTCCTCGTCCTGGTGGTGACGGTTAGAGCCAGGAGGCGACGCCGCGGACACGGATGTGGGACGATCTTACCAGAGGGCCCCTTCCGTCTTCGGGGACTTAGATGTTTGTTATTGTTTCATGTTTTGTTTCATTTGACTTGACCTGTATATTCGTTGACTGATCTGTACTTACTAACTTTGTGTTCATTGATTTACATTGACTATTTTTGTATATACATATTTATTTAGACTTGACTATTGCCTATGTTCATGTGGACAAGTGTGTGGGTACTTGTGTAATTTTGCGAAAACTTTACGTCATTTTTATTATCATAAGTGGAGGGTATCCGACTTTCTCCCGAAAAAGTAAATAATAACAAAAATTGCAATATTTATTAAAATTAAACCCATATGTACAAACTGTAATTTAATTTTGAATTTTAGTAAAAAAATAATCAATAATTAAAAATACACCCATAATAGACTTCAAATACAACTTGGTATACAAGTATGACTCAAAGCTGTAAAATATCCATTGTACGGGATTTTGTCGCAAAAAAAAGCAAAAAGGCGCGGAAAAATAGGGAGTGGCACAGCGCGCCACTGGTGTCACGACGCGCTACTATTGACGCACTAGTACATAATTGACCTTAAGTAACATCTAAAAAGTATTACATAAAGTGGTAAAAGTGTTATCATAGACAATAGGTTACACTTTAGTGGGTGATGCATCTGCCCATGTTATCTAAGGTCTTATGTAACACTTTGGGTAACATAAGGTAACACTTTTAAAAGTGTTACTGTAAACCCTCTTTTGTAACACATTCTTATAATATTAGTATCATTTTTAAAGTGTAACTTTTTATTTCTTATGTAACACTTACTTATCTCTAGTAACATTTTTTAATCATATAACACTCTATCAGACATCTTGTATCACTTTTGCAAAACTAATGTAACACCTTGTTGATTATCAGGTAACATTTTTCAATCATCTTTAGACATATAGTATCACTATATTCGACATCATGTATCACTTTTTGCAAAATAATGTAACACCTTGTTAATTAATAAGTAACATTTATTATTTAAAACATGCAACTTTATTATTTTTGTAAATATATTAAAATAAGATTAACCTGTACAACAACCACAAATGAGAAATTAACATATACGATAGACGATAATTTAAATTGATATAATTTCATATTTTCTTTAATAAAAATCGATTACCACAATTTTTTTTTGTTTGGCTAAACAATCTAATAATCTAAACTAAAAGATTATCATGTACTACTTTATATGTAATACTAATAGTCCCTCTTCCTAACAATTCAGCTGAACCTCTTATCATTTAGTTCCAAGGAAAATAACTAAGTTCCACACTTCCACCCGCACAAAACACCAAACTCCCACTCTTTCCTTGATCATGACTTCTTGTTGCGCGCTCTTCACTTTCTTTTCCATCTTGTCCTCCGTCTTCAGCTGCATCTGCATTCGCCGAATAGTCTGATGCCATTGTTGTTCTTTCATTATGACAGTTTTGATCTTTCATCTACACTCTTCCTTCTATAGCAAAGCATGTAATTGACCTTATTAGTTCCATTACTCCTACAATGATCAAAAGGTAAAAGATTAAGAGTAAAAAATAATCAATACAGATTCTGATAGATTTCACTCAATCCCACGCCCATGATGCAAACCTAATGCAAAAGTCATTTACCTCTTTCATATATTCATGCTTTTATCTTAAAATCCTTGTTTTAGATAATAAATAATCTTACAATTACACTTACCAAAAGCATAAGTAGCAGAAAGCCTTTCCTAAGGATTCCACAAAATAGCATCAAAAATATGATTGCAAATTGAATTTTTTGGGACAAACATAACAGAAGCTACAGGTCAACATCTTCACACAGTAAGGGCAACAATTCAAGTATTAAATAGTAACAACTATGAATTAACAACAGCCAACAACAATAACAATTCCACTAACAAGACCAATAGTATCCTCAACAACTAATCAACTGAAAACTCCAAAACAATATCCTAAAACACATCATTCAAACTAACAACTAAAGCTGGTATTGACTCACTACTAATTTTGCAGCCTAAAATCACAATTAAACCATCTAAACACAACATGCAATTAACTTAGATTTTTCTGTGGGTAATTCGTGTGTACCTTAATTTGAATGGTGAATATTGTACTAAGATCGGAACTTTCTCAAACTCAGTTAAAAAAAAGTGAAACTTAATAAATATTAACATGAATTAAACTACAAATTAAATTTCAATAAACCTTAGATTGTGAATTAAGCCTTAAAGTATCCAATTTACTCATTGTTGTAGCTACTCTATTGATACTATTTGAGAGCCGAAGGGAGTAACAAATAAATAAGAAAATTATTTCAGTTTTTTATTAGAAAAATATCAACAACAAAAAAAAGCACTATATAATGTGATAATTAGTTAGGATGAGCAAATAATGACTCACAACTCAACAATTTCCCACCTGCCACACAATCCACCATCCAAATGGGCTTCACAATATGTAGTCCACCAATGAAATATCTACAGCAAAACATGCAATGAAACAGACCACATTCAATATAATTTAAGGTATTCTACAAATAATACAAAGGAAAAGAGAAAAAAAACACAATGAGGTAACTTACTGCAAATTATATGAGTGACACGGTGCCCAAAAAGTAATTCTCAAATTGGCTTCCCCCATGCTTCAGCTTATATGTCTGATACTCCTATAAAGTTTTTATTATATGTGGTTATCATAATCAGTAAAATTAATTGATCCAAGCACCAATTACAAGAAAATTTGGGAGGCTAATTATTGACAAACCTGGCATAATTAACCCATCTCTTCTTGGATTTCTTGTAGATGCCCTATAAATTTATCATTTTAACTGTCAGGTTAGAACAACAATCTACCTAAATTATCGTCAGTCAAGTATAGCATTACTTTTTAAGAGTAGCTACAAAAGTAAGGTGATAGCAGGGCCAATTTATCATACTTGCTTAGTGTATCCTCCTTTCGTCGAGTGCTCGCATGCATACAACTGCATCCTACAACAAAAACAATAAGTATACCCAACTTACAACAATTTTCCAACTTAAATTTCAAGAGAAGGATGAGAATAATGCAGAGAGAGTACAATAATGGTGAGAGATGAGAAGTAGGATAACCTGTTTTTACATAATTAACTGATCATGCAAGTATGAGAAAGAGATAAACAGAGTATAACTGAGTTTTCTGACTGAAGTGAAAGCTAAACTCATCGGACACATAAAATTCCAAAAAAATCAAGCAAAATCCAAAAAAATGGGGAAATTACAGAAAATTAGCCAATTAATCATCTTAACCCCACAAAATTAAAACTTGGAAAATGTAGCAAGTGATGCAATCATCACAAATTTCTTACAAAAGTAACAATTAATCAAATTAAGTATCGGAATAATGGAAAATAAAAACCCAATTCCATAACTAGAGCTTAATATAATTAAAATTACAAAAAAAAAAAACCTTGCCAGGAGTGGTGGTTTTGGCCGTAGCAGGAATAGTAGCAGTAGCTTGAATATCACACACAAATACACAATTCCTCCGATTATAACTGGCATTGCCTTGTATTTGTACATCTCTTTTGCCCACAATTACTTAAATTCTCGACAAGCTTACGAGGAATCCATTCAGAAAAGAAAATAATTATATTACAATTGGTCAGATTAGTCAACAAAGATCAAATTAAAAGGTAAATCAAATCAGAAATAATTGAAGAGATGAAAAAACAAAAATCCCAAACTCATCAAAATACTTCGACCAATTCAGATACATGCATCAGTATGATAATAGTGAAATTAAACATGTTAATAGGGAATTGAAACCCTAACTTTAGCTAACTCAAATTCTTGTTGATAATGGAAGGGAGAGGGAACGAAACTAACCCTAACTTAAACTTTAAGGTGGAAGCCGTCGAAGATTGAAGCAAGGAGGTGGCAATTGTTGTCTTTGGAGGTGGCAATCATCGGTGTCTCTTCAACTAGGTGCACGGAGTGTTGCATACGTCTTCGGGTAGGAGCACGGGTTGCGATGGGGGTAGCCTGCAGTGGGTGGGGGCTACACTGTCGCACCGGAAGCGAGCAGGGGGTAGCGGTGGAGCACCGAGAGCGAGAAGCTCCATCAAGCTTGATGGAGAAACCGAGAAATACGAGGGATTGAGGGAGGCAAAGAGTTGTGAGGCTATGAGGGTTTTTTTTTTAAAAAAAATTATATCAAATTAAATTTACAACCAAGTGTTATTACAACCAAGTGCTACCTAATATCAAAGTGTTATTGTAAACTGTTACCTAATATTAAAGTGTTACAAAAAATGTTACCTAATTCAAGTATTCAATATTGTAACACCTCTTAGTGTTACCATAAAATGTTACTTTTTTCAAAAGTGTTACTATGGAGTGTTACTTATGTTATAAGTGTTACATTGAGTGTTACATTCTAATAAAGTGTTACCAAAATGTTACTTATTAATCTAATATTTTGCATTTCAAGAAGTGTTACCAATTACATGTTACATAAAGTCAATTATGTACTAGTAACGCAGCGCGTCACTTTTGGTGTACTGCGCCAATTCTAGGCGTTTCCGAATTTGATCCGAATTGTATTTATGTTTAGTTTTTACTTATAAAAATAAGTTGTTCCATCAGCTTTTCCACAAATTCGAGAGCTTTTCCACAAAATGTGTCTCTTGATGTCAATTTTCTTCATGCTGTTTAGAATATTGGGACCCTTCAACCCATTGCTTTAGGTTTAATTCTAACGAAATTAGTCCTTTCCCGGAAGAATTTAGCGCTATTTTTGGTTTTCCACCTAGGCTTTTAATTGCTCTTCCTTCTTTATGTGAATATTATTACAGGGATTTTGAGCGTTTCTTCAACCTTTGTAGTCCCCTTCTTGATTCCATTGTTTGTGGTAGAGAAGTCGATTTATTCAAATTTGCAGATTTATATTATCATCTCCCTTAATCCGAATCTTTTCGCATATATAGCAGAAGAGCATATATTTATTGCATATTTTGCGAATTCTTCTTTGTCCATGGAAATAGCACCATAGGTCATGCGGGATTACTTTCTTTAATAGAACATATTGAAGACGGAAGGACTCCAATGTTGACCATCTTAGGAGAGACTATGTTAGGTTTAGATGCTCTAAAAGAAGTTTTTGGGTCTCCCATGAGGGGGTCTCCCTCACTATTACAGGTAGAAAATCAATACTTTTATCTTTATTAGTAAAAATGTTATTGATTCAATAACGTAATATTTTTTTTTTATTTTTGCAGATTTGGCTAATGAAAAGGCTTCAATTAATTAAGCCCCCAGATAATATTGAAAAATACACGCCAAACACTTTTGTGAGGAGAAGGAGGAGATTTTCTTCAAAGATGTCGGTTGATGATTTGAGGAAGTTTTTTAAGATTCGCAACTTCAACATTCAATGGGTCATTCCATGGTGGAAAATTGATAAAATGGTTTCCGTGAATGATTCTCCATTCAATCATCTACCCAGCTTGTCACTCTTAACTTTCTATTACCCCTCTCGTGTAATGAAACAGTACGGGATGGAGCAAACCATTCTTCCAATTAATGATAGAAGTTGTCCTCATGAACCTTACATGTATGCTAAGAATCTCGACCGTTTCGAGACTTATTGGGCTGAAAGGCAATTTTGGGATATTCAGTACAACTTCAAAATTCCACCTTTATCCTAGGATTATATTGGATGGCTCCATAACCGTAGATTGAAGGCGTCTAAAATCCCCTCAAAAGCGAAAGCTCCTACTACCAATGATTGTCCTATGAATAATCCTCCTCCAAGTCGTTCAGGTCCTAAACCTAATAGGATCTACTTTAAGACTCCTACTGCTCCGAAGAAGAAAGACTCAATTGTTGGGAAAGGAAAGGGAAAGATGACTCCTAAACGCGGTGATAAGAAAATCTATAAAGAGAAAAGAAAGTTTCAAACCACAGAAAAGGGTGAAAGCTCTAAAGATGGATGTGGCGATTCGATCCTCCAATGGGTCCTTATTGGTGCAAAGGAAAGAAAAAGAGGATGATCAGCAATTCAAGTGTTATCAAAAGGAAAAGAAAGACTAGACTTCTATTGCTTTGCTTAGATTTTAGACATTTACGCTCTAAGTTTTTTTTAAGGTTTCGAATAAGGCGTTACACCATTAGTTGATGTAAGATTTCTTTAATAAAAGTTTATTTTAGTTTAAAAACGGTTTTTTTTTTTGATATCGAATTGTGAATTCAAAAGCAATGAAAGAAATCTGACCAATTTTATTTCTTCTAAAACTGGAAGGTCACCACGTCATCTAAGGGGTGACGCAAGGTGGCGCATCTTTCCAAGAGTGACGCGCTGTGTCAATGGTGGCGCGGTGCACCACTTGTGGCGCAATGCGCCACTCTGGAATCTGTGCGTTCTTTTGTTTTCTTTAATAAAACCTGTTTTTTAAATATTTACCTTTTCTAAGGAATTAGGCCAGACGTAGCTCTTTTTAGGCTATGAGCCTGTTGAATTAAGGGTAAAATTTCTTAAGTTGATCGAGATTAGACATATTAGAAAATGCATTGCCATCCATAGCAGCCAGTTTATCCGCTCCTCCTGACAGAATTGTTTTAACTATATACAAACCAGACCAATTGGGCCGAAATTTTCCTCTTTGGTTTAATATGTTCTTCCTAAGAGCTTTTAGGACTAAGTCACCTTCTTTTATGTTTCTAACCTTTACTTTCTTGTTGAAATGTCATGCCATACGCTTTTGATATCCTTGAACATGATGCAAGGCCGCTAAGCGTTTTTCGTCCGACAATATCAATTCTTCATATCGAGCTCTTGTCCATTCTACTTCATCTAGTTTACTTTCTAAGGAGATTCGTAAGGATGGTACTTCTAGTCTACGGGTTGTACCGCATCCATTCCGTAAACTAAGGAGAAGGGTGTTACTCTGGTAGATGAACGAATAGTGGTACGATATCCCCATAGGTCGAAGTGTAATTTGTTGGGCCAATCCTTGTAATTCTCAGTCATTTTTTAAATAATGACTTTTAAATTTTTATTGGCTGCTTCGACTGCACCATTTGTTTAAGGTATATGTGGAGATGAATGATGATGCTGAATCCCATACTTCTTGAGCAATTCTTCGCATTCTCCTTGAAAGTGAGTTTTATTGTCACTAACCATCTCATGGGGGACTCCATATCTGCATATTATATTTCTTTCTATGAAGAAACCCACATGCTTAGCTGTGAGCTTAGCATATGAGGTGGCTTCAACCCATTTGGTGAAGTGGTCAATGGCTACAAGGATAAACTCATGACCTCCTGTGCCTACTGGAGTGATTTTTCCAATAATATCAATTCCCCATGTCGAAAAAGGCCATGGTAAGTTATATGTGTAAAGTACAGAAGATGGAACGTGCTGCAGGTTGGCATATATTTGACACTCGGGACATCTTTTCACATATTGGTAACAATCCCCTTCCATGGTACTCTAGTAGTAACCTTGACGTATGATTTTCTATACCAACATCTTTCCATTCATATGGGTCCCGCAAGATCCTTCATGGACTATTCTCATTATCCTTTGTGCTTCTTTCTTCGTAACACATAAGAGAGCCCTTCCTTGAGGCACCCTTTTATGAGGTTCATTATTGATAAGGGCGTATTGTGAAGATAAGAGTCTAAAAACACGTTTAGCTCTTTTGTCAGTATTCGGTGGGTATTCTCCTTTGATCACATAGTTTAAAATATCTGTATACAATGTTTCTTCATTATCCTGTTATTGTTCTTGGTCATCATCAAGGGCTTGGACATAAGCTGGTTCGTGTCTTTTCTCTATTGTTAAAGGCATTCGTTTGATACCTTCAGGGATTCTAACCATTAAGGCTAACCTTGCTAAAGCATTCGCAAATTGGTTTTCTTCTCTAGGAAATTAAGTGTACTCTACTTTCTTTAGTTGATCGGTAAGTGTTTCTAAATAGGTTTGGTATGGAGCAAGACTCTCGCTCCTCACCTTCCATCTTTTGGAAATCTAGTTGATGATGAGGGATGAGTCTCCATTGATTCGGAGCTTTTTGATGCTAAGGGCCAATGCGGTTTCTAATCCTACTATACATGCTTCATATTCGGCAGCATTATTTGTTACATCAAAGCTGAGTTTTATTGAAATCGGAACATGTTCTTCTTGAGGTGACACAAGCAATACTCTTACTCCACATCCTTTTTGGTTCGGGGCTCCATCAAAGTACAAGGTCCAGGCGTCATCTTCTGTAAGGAGAAGTTCTTCATTAGGGAATTCATATCCTTGTTTCTATGCATCTTCAAATTCTTCTAGCGAAAAGTCGGCTAGAAAATCGGAAACTGCGGTCCCTTTTATGGCCTTTTGTGGTGTAAATTTCAAGTTAAATTATGCAAACATAACTATCCACCTTGATATCCTTCCATTGAGTGTGGATTTTTCAAATAGATACTTAAGAGGGTCTACTTTTTGAAAGCACGTGGACCGTATGAGTAAGCATGTAGTGTCTTAAATTCTTTGTGGCCCATACAAGTGCGAGACATAACTTTTCAAGTAGACTTCATATTGTAGCATTTTCTTGCTTAGGTGGTAGGTGGCGTTTTCTTTTCCATCCACTTCTTGTGCTAACATTACTCCCATTGTTTCATTGGTTATTGTTTAATAAAGAAAAAGAGGTACATCTGGTACTGCTAGGGCTAGTACTAGAGGATTTTCCAAAAAAGCTTTAATTTTGTCAAAGGCTGTTTGGCAGTCTTCATCCCACACTACTGGTACGTCCTTTTTGAGCTTCCTAAATATAGGTTCGCATATGGTGTTAATTTTGATATAAACCTACTTATGTATTGTAATTGTCCTATGATTCCTCGAATTTGTTTTTCGGTTTTTGGTGGGGGCATTGACATAATAGCTATAATTTTGGTTGGATCTATCTCAATTCCTCTAGTCAGATAGCCTAGAAGTTTCCCTGAAGTAACCCCGTACGCGTACTTTGCTGGATTAAGCCTCATATTATATTTGCGAAGTCTTTAGAAAAACTTGCGTAAGGTTATTGGATGCCCTGATCGATCTTTGGATTTTACAATCATATCATCTATATAGACTTCAACTTCTTTGTGCATCATGTCATGTAACTACGCATTCGCCGCTCTTTGGTAAGTGGCACCCGCGTTTTTTAACCCAAATGGCATTACCGTAT